AAATTTTCCCATAAGGTTCAATGTAATTACCGTTAATCCGTTCTGGCGTCCGCAGACCACGTGTCAGGGGCGGGAGAACGGCCCGGCGCGGCGGGAGAATGGCCGTGGACCACGTGTCGGGCGGAAAAATGGCCACGGACCATGTGTCAGGGCGGAAAAATGACCGTACCCCGAGGTGGAATTCGCACATCGAGATAAATTTTTGCGGCCGGAGCTGGTCGTAACCCGAAAAGTTTGTTAGTAGAGGCGTTCGTATCCCGAGGTACCACTGTACAGTACTTTTGGATATCACTTCTGCCAAAAATTTCTATTCTAAATAATATGTTCACTAGAGGAAAAGCTATAGTTAATTTTTATACCCACAAAACTCTAAACTATATGCTGAATAAAATCAGCAAAAAAAAAAAAAATCCTTAAGCTTGATGATTTGTTCAATTAAACTGTTGATGTTGTTACCTAGCCAAACCTGTTTAACGTTCATATTCTTCTGAAGAGATAAATTTAGTTAAAGTGGAACTTCTCAATATAACTATGGAATCCAATGCAGTCGATCTTTTGGGGGCCGATGGGCACATTTTGAAGTTTTGGAGCAGTATAAAATGATTGTCAGTGGGGGTTGGGGACAGGATTTGCTCTCATTCACAGAATAGTTGCTGTGGTGTGCACAGCCAGAAATGAAATGGCTGTTTATCAGAAGGCAAACTCTGTGGAAGCTTCTCAGCTCCTCTTGTCTGACACACCAGGATGTTTTGTATGATTCCATCTTACTTTTGACTTTTTGTCTGGGCAGGTAGAGGCAGTTCTAAGCAAAACTACCCTTTGTGATGTCTAAAAATGCCTATGGGAAACTGTGTAGGATCCAGATACAATCTAGAAATGCTTTACACTTTTATTTTACATGCCAGTTTTTTTTCCAGAAAAATAAAGTACCTTTTAAAAACATTAGGGGGAGATGGGCAGGGATAAATGTAATAAATTTAAAAAAAAATAATAATAAAAACAATTAAATCAGGTAAGGCACAGGGATTCTAAGGACCTGCGTCACCACAGTGCTTACTCCTAGCTACATTGCTGTCATCTTGAACCAGTGAAGCAGTAAATTATGCATTATTTTTCAGACTATCAAGAGACTGCAGTACTATCACTGAAAGGTATGTGACCTCACTTTCCCATATTTTAATCCCTAAACATGAAACTAAAACTGTTGCTGTCAAGTTTTTCTTCTTCATTTTCTTTTTCAAGTATCATATCATAGGATAATAGTCCTGGTGATATTATCCACATTGCTGATAGCTGTTGGTGCTGTAGCTACATGTTTGTGGTATTCGCCACGGCCCAGTCGTGCATCTGGAAGGATGCTGCGCTTCAGAAACGCCTGCCTCGCGGACGCCCCCTCCCAAGTTCCTGTTGCCGAAGAAAGCATCCTCATTTCCAGTCTGGAGAGGAATGATGTTCTGTAATGCAACCACGTTCATTTAGTGCAACTAATAAGGCTGCATTTACAATAGTACAAATGGACTTCCGTCTTTGCAGACAAAAATAATCTCATGAACTGATTACATCATACGATTAGACTTACGCATTTTACTCCCTCCAAATTGAATGAAACAAGATCTGCAATGAGACTCATCATTTATGTTTGTTGTAGTATACTTTTGAGGCTGGTATCTCGGGGAACGTGTCCATTTATGATGCTCATTTCAGTTCCATAAATCAAATCCTATTATTGTCCATTAAAATTTTTTTCCAGATCCTGGACCAAGGAAGAGCCAACCTGCCCTCCTCTTTTCCTTTTCTCCTTCCACAACTTTTTGGGAAGAGCAAAATAAAACATTGACTAGGCCAATTCAGCTCATAGTTTTTAGCTTTAGCAATGATGCATTAGAAATTGAAAACCTGACTAATTCTGAAACGTTCAAAGCCACTAATTGTACAAAATAAAAACAATACTAAAGACTCCTATGTTCTTAACCCTCTTCCTCAAAACTACCCATTTAAAGATTTTTTTTTAAAATTCTCATTTGCTTCCCCCAAAGCCCTTACTTGTGTGAAGAAAAATACTGTATGTGGCAGACATATATTTGCAACTCAGAAAGAATAATTGGGCTCGCCAGATGCCAAAAGAAAACACAAGTAGATTGTCACATGAAATTAATGTTCTGTGCTTTCAATATGCTAAGAGTTCTGCAGGCAAGGAAGTTGGCATCAGGAGAGAAGGGGAAGAAAGACCAAATTCTTAGGTGTAACTATTTAGTAACTGACATTGTTTAAAAAATGGAGTAAGTTATTCAGGATGTAGTGACTGGAAGGAAATCCCACTGAACTCAGAGGTATTTTCTTTTGAATAGATATTTATAGGCTCACACTATGTTGGGTGTTACTTTACATCTCCCATTGTTGTGGCTTTCAAATATATTTGGTTCGGAAAACATAACATGGATGAACTATGAAACTAACTTGGATAGGGCTAAAATGCCAAACAGTAATGGTAACAGTAATGGTGGGCATCAAGCAAGATCCACTGAAATGCATAATTTAATATTTTCATGGAGAAGCATTTTTACTGTGTATATGTGTGCAAGAAAGACGGATCTTATGTCCTTAGCTGAGTTGGTCTAGCTTTTAAGGAAATTATTAAAACAGAAAGAGCATTATATGCATATATAGATCTTTAATCTCATTAGCATGTACTGTACTGCTTATTCTCTTTATGCCCAACTTCTGACTTCTTAGAATCCAGTGAAAAGCTAGTACTTACTTCTGCATTTTACAATTAATTTTCTTTTCCCCTTGTTCTTATTTGCATTATAAAACAACATCTTTTCCTCTATTTTTCTCATGTTACCAACTGAAAACATTTTCAAATCAGATTTGTACCATTAATGATACTGTATGCAACTTGTTTTACTCCCTCATACAAAATACACTCTAAAAAAAAAAAAAGGACTGCTGCTCTGTTCAGTAAAAATACTTTACTATACTTCATTGTCCTATATTATTTGCTTGTTTTATATTTGCATGTTTAAATTTAATTTACACCTGACCTCTCTATGCAAGCAAATAGTCAAGGCAACTAATGTTTTATTTATTTAATTTAATAATTTAATTTAAAATTAATACAGGCTGGCAAAATATACATGTCTTTATAAATCTTCATATTGCTGAGGGAGGGGCAAATACAACTCCTGGGGGAATATATTCCATAGCAATGCAGGTGGCATTCACCACCACCCTAGAGTTACAGGCCTCTGACAGTGGGGGTCATCTTCAAAAGGACTTTTTCCTGGAAATCTTAACAGCTGGACAGGCTTATCTCTTAGGCTGTAAGCCATGTAGGTCTGTAAAACTTAATACTTGCATCTTACATTGTGTTCAGTATGCCACTGGCAGCCAGTGCAGATACTTTAATACAGGCAGCTTGTAATTCTATGACTTGTACCAGTTAACAGCCTATACTTCCATTTTGTACCTACTACAAATTCTGGAGAGTTTTAATATGCCCCTAGAGCATATTGCAACATTCAAGACGCTCTGCAGATATGGATAACTATTGACTAATCCAACCAACCGAGGGTCACGGTCTTCACTAACCTTAATTGTGCAAATATTTTAATTTATCAATCAGATTTATATGGCCACCTATCTATCCCAGAGTTACTGGGAGTTGGGCGGTATATAAATGTTGTTGTTGTTAATAAAACCCAAACAGAAACCAAGTAAAAATCTCACAATACACATGTCATACACCTCCACATGTAACTGGAGGTATATGACGTATAACAGAGATCCAATAACTAACATCCTGGCCCCAATGCCTTCTTAAAAGGCAGTAGAACTGAGGCTGCCTGTATCTCTGGGAGAGGCTGTTCCATAGGGTAAGGACCATGACAGAGTAGACACAGTTCCTAGGACCCACCAGGTGACATTGCTTCACCAAGGGGCCACAGAGCATGCCCACTCTGCAAGATGTCGTGGAACAGGCAGAAACCATCAGGGATAAGCAATAGGACTTTAAAGGTGACAACCAGCACTTTGAATTACAGGAAGCCTGCTAGGAGCTAGTGCAGCTCGCAGGAGTACTGTCCACTGCCTTCTGGACCATCTGAAGCTTCTAATACTCTTCAAAGGGAGCCCCATATTGCAATAGTCCTGGGAGGTGATAAGGTGTGAGTAACTGAGCAGTGCCTACTGATGTAGGAACAGGTATAACTAGTGCACAAGATGTATGGCAAGAGAGCCTTTGTGTAAAGGGCCTGGTGGCCAGGCTGCCATCTGCTTCTCGAGCAGGAGCTGCAGCTCCAGGAGGACCCCCAGATTGTGCACCAACTCTGCTTGGGGAACTGTAGCCCCATTCAAAGTTAACAATGGAAAATCACTAGATTCAGGAGGCCCTAAAAACCCACTGCCAGTGTTTTTGGGGTTGAGCCAAGGTCAGTTTTTCCCCATCCAGACCTGCACAGCCTCTAGGCACTGGGAAAGCACCTCAGTTGCATCACTTGGATGGCCCAGAGCAGGGATGTACAACTGAGTATCATCAGCATTATCAACGATACTTGATTCCTTGCTAATAGATAACCTCACCCAATGGTTTCATGTAGACGTTAAATAGGATTGGGGAGAGAGTCAAGCCCTGTGGCACCCCACAAAGGAGGGGTGCCTTGTATATGTATTTGATACCTTGCCACAGCCAGAACATCGACACCCAATTATAGGTGATCATCAAGGTACATTTTCCAGGATGCAGATCTCTTTCAAGAGGAGAACACCCTCATCAAAACAGGCTAAGTCCTTTCCGCTTACCACAGAACCTCTACCTTACCTGGATTTCATTTCAGCTTGTTTCCCTCATTCTGTTCACAATCAGACTGCAGCAGCATTCAGGAATTGATGGGAAGGAGTAACAGGTTGGGTTTCAAAACTGCCTCCCAGCACACCAAAGTTCCAAAACTGCCCCCCCCCCAGCAGTTTCATGCAGGTATTAAATAATATGAATGACCACACAGAAACCTTTGGTGCGTAATAAATTAACAGCCTTAGCTGTAAAGCAGCATTCCCCCAGTGGCACCTTCCGGACACAACCAGGCAGGAAGGACTAGAACTGCTGCAGAACTGGCCCATGAGGCTCAATCCTGCCAGGTGGTCCTGTTGATACAGTTGGTGGGACCAGAACAACTATCCGGCCTGCACTTCTCCCTCTAGTTTCTGGCAATACAGGACTTAACAACATATTGAGTGATGCCAGCAAATTATCTACACCAGATATTCCAGATATATTTAATGCAAAAATCTATAACATGCTATAGTATCTGCCGCTCTCAGCTAAGACTTCCAAATGCTGGTATAGTTTTGTTAACAGAAATGAAAGAGAATCAATTATCTAATCTACTTAGGAATCTAGTAATCATTTGATGGCAGGAAGTATTTAATACTGAAGGCCAGAAAAAATACTTTGCATTGATTTTCAAAAATAACCACTCAATGCTTTTATATCAACCTGTAACTACTATGCATGCGTGTGTGTGTGTGTAACAAATGCTAGAAATGTTTTGCTATGAAAATATTTTGTGAAAATGCTTTAAACATACACCTAAATGGTGATCTTTCTTTTGAATGTGCTTCCAGAAATTTCCAAACCATAGGTCCAATTCACCTGCCATGAGGTGAAAAAAAAAATCAACCATCCAATGTATAAAACTGATGCTTACTGATTTTCAAAAATGTGTTTGGCACAGCCATTTGATAATGGAATCTAGAATGTCCAGTACAAAGTCTCAGATGCTGGGCTGTTTCCAGAACTAAATCATCTCTGTGATATTTCTTGAAATTCAATAAGCATGTCATGTCTTTTCAATTAAGTTTCTGTAATATCAGTAGTTCCTGAAATCCCACAGCATGTAACTCTGCAGCCAAGTTCTTGTTATACTAAAATTGGGTTCATCAGAAATGATAAAAATCAGTAATAAAGGTGATAGGGTTTCTGTTGCATAGTATGAGTTATTCTGTGCAGCAAAAAGTGTGGTGAGGAATAAAAATTATTGGACCATCTTGTAATTATTACTTTGAACTAGTCTCTGCTCTGCTCTGCTTTTTTTTTTTTTCCCATTTCTCTCTTCTTTCTCCCTCCCTTCTTGAGTCAATTGTCCCTCTTATTACACCATGTTCATATATACAAATATGTATTTTACTTACAGTTCAAACAATACCAATGTTCACCAAGAAATGGGAGAAAAATACATTATTTTATATGATCGTACTGTGAGAAAAAAGAAAGGAACAGTAACAGGGGCAACAAATAGGTTGGGGTTAAGAGAATCTTCCAGAACCTCACAACCACTAAGGGACCACCTAATTTATGCTACTAGCTGCTACAGTTAACCTCTTCCCTGGACATTTAGGGTTGTTTAGCCCAACAATTTCTTGTTTAACATGGGTTAGAATTATGTTGCCCTTTAAGCAGGAAGACATTGGACTAACACAAAACTATAATATCTTCTGACCACTGCTACTAATTGATTTAAAAAATGAGGTCTGGGTGTATAGGCAGGCCATTTGACACAAATTGTTCTCTTCAGTGAACATGGAAGGACATGCAGAAAAAAAAAAAATCTCTATAAAGTACAATCGTTATTTACTCTTTTGTGCATGACTGTATTTGTCGTGTTATAAAAAAAAGTCCTCCTAGACCAGATCAAAGGCCTATCTAATTCAGCATCCTGGTTTCTACTATAGGTAATCTAATGCCTAAGAAATTCTGGTTACATCTCCAGAACTGAAAAAGTTTATAAGCATTATAATTAATAACTTGTGCTTGGAAATAATGTAAAAACCCCCCACCACTATCATCACCCAAAAGGTCAACATTTTAACTCTGCAGATAAGACCCAGTCCTAACTCTAACACTCCTACTCCCACATAGATAGATTAGGGCATACATGCATTTATTCCTTCTTTTGTAAAAAAGCTACATACTATATGTTAAACATACATGACTATCGCCTAAAACGCTTTGGGGCAATTTACAGAAAATATATTGTACTTTCTGGTAGCGGCAAATTTTCTCCCTTCTTGTTTTCTCCCAGGGTTCACTGCAGTTTTAGGTGGTGGCTGAGATGTTCTCTACTCATACTGTTATAAAATTAGTCCCATACCACAGGCCCCTATAGACATGCTGTTGGACATTTACCAGATTCTGTACATTTGCCTGGCAGATAGTTGTTAGCTGCTGTGATTTATGGAGTTTAGGAAACACATTAAAAGATGGAGCAACCTTCAAAGAGCTTAATAAAAAGGTAACAGGAATCCCATTCATTTTGCTAGCAGGGGATCTGGAACTTCCCACCTGGAAAGTTGGCCAATTCTGAAAGGACTTCGAGCATATAACTGGAGTTTTGTTGAGGTTCAACTGAAATGGGAATCAATTACGAAGATATTAAAGAATGATATCTGGTTTTGTGAAGCAAAAAGAAAAGGGATGTATTATGTGCTGGCAGCATCCCTTATCATTCAGGTTTCACTGATGTTTGCTTCATTGCTTGTTTCCAACAGCGTGATGCTGGGATGCTTCACTGAGCATTCAGTATCACCACGCTGAAAATGCCACAATCCTGACATGTGGACAGAGCAGGAACGTGTAAAACATTACACAGTGTTAATGGAAATGCTTCCTTGTTTCAAAGGAATATCTGAGGTTTATTCAACAGTTTTGTAATGAATAACACAAATACATTGCATGGCTTATAAACCTTTATGAACATGTTCAGACTCTTAAAGTAATGACAGGGGTACATTTAGTAATGAACAAAAAACAAGTGTAAGAAAAACTGCAGAAAAAGAGCAACTGAGAAAATGAAATGTTAATATGCCTCCATTAAGTGTCTCCAAATTAAAATGGGGGACCTGAAATATC